ATTTTTTTGTGGAAGCAGCTCCTGTATGTTTTTCTGACAGTTGATATCTTCCTTTCTTGTTGATTGCAGGTTTCTCAAATTCTCCGGATTATAACATTCTATTCTACCCAGCTTCCAGGTCCAAACTATCATTGCCGTGAGGTAAAGTCTTTATTTGATACATGTCTGTCATGTTGTTATGCACTTTATATGGTAGTATGCCTTTGGTATTAGACTTCTTTAGTTTTGAAACAGTATTAAATGTTTTTTTTTTTTTTAGGTGAAGGGTTGGCAGTTATCTTTGAAAAGTTAATCAATTTGATCTGTTGAATAATGCATTTATGAACCCTTGCTGCATTTGCAGGGCTCTAAACTTGCCAGGTTGCCACGTCCTCAGAGTGTACTCGAAGTCCTCTTAATTAATTGTATGTACTCTTGTTTGATTCAAATCCTTTTGTTCATTGGTTTAAATGATTTTTGCCCATTTGCTTTGTCAAATATGCAGTTCCGCGGGGCGTAGTATATGGTTGTGGTGATTTGATTTTTTCATCACACATGATCTTTACTTTAGTCTTTGTGCTCACATATCAGAAATATGGCACTAGAAGGTACTGGCTTGTACTCATTTCATCAAATTTAGTTTCTCCCACTTCCCTCCCTCAAAATCTCTAAGAGTATTTTTTAATGTGACTCTTTCCCATGGAACTCGAGGCTTTTTTGGTAGAACTACCGAATAGCTTATCCATTGTCGTAATAATTGGTGGCAATTATGAATGCATTCAACATGTATCTAACTGTAAAAAGAATCGCTTGGATCAGCTTACTTTAACTCTGTGGATTTTGTCTGGGAAGTACTTTCCACTATGATAAATGGGCTGGATCTGGGTTGATTTTAGATTCAAGTTGAATTTTACTCTATTATGGCTAAACTTTTTTGCATCTTACTGCATATGTGTAATGGGGCTTTTTTTTTTTTTTTTTTTTAATTGCAAAATTGCAGGTTTATAAAGCAGTTTGCTTGGTTGCTTGCTATTGTTCAGAGCTTCTTGATTGTAGCATCTCGCAAACATTACACGGTTGATGTTGTTGTTGCCTGGTATGAATGTTACAATTATTTCATATTGGTTTTACATTATTTCTGTGCAGTTTTTCACTTTAGTTGAACCATATGATTGTTTTGCAGGTATACTGTTAACTTAGTGGTGTTCTTTATAGACAAGAAATTGCCTGGTAAGCATGTTCTTACTTGGAAATACTCTACATTGTTCATCTTTCCTTCTTGTTTGGAATGAATGGGGGTGGGGTTGCGTCATTGAACTAAAGCAATGATTTCTTTTGTTGCTGCAGAACTGCCTGATCGTAACAGTGGAAGTTCACCTCTGTTACTGCCTGTGAGCACCAAAGACAAGGATGGTAGGACTAAAGAGGAAAATCACAAGCTCTTGAATGGAAATTCAGATCCCTCAGATTGGGTATAAGAATTATTTTAATTCTCTGTAGTGCTTCAATACTATTAAAACTTGCACACTTACAATGCTTATTATCTTCATCAGAGGCCGAGAACACAAGTCAATGGCAAGATTATGGAAGATGGCAATGGAGTCCATGTTGATAGTGCAATGAATGGTGCTTAGATGATGGAAGTTGCCAAAGCTACTGCAGTGGGGGCTGCCGCAAAGGCCACTAATTGAATTCTTGTAATCATGAATTAAAGGTTTAGTTGCTTGAGTCATCAGTTCCTTTGCCTGAGACTGGTAAAGAAAATTGATTTGTATTTTAGAGAAAATGGAGTTTGGGTAATAGGTTTGTATATTTTGCAGTCAACTCTCCTCTTAAGTTTTGGTCCAACATCAGCATCAGCATGTATCTTATCATGGAATGGTAAGATTTCTAGTGTTGCCATTGTTCTCCATGGGGATAGTTTCCTCTTGTATTGTTGCTGTTGCTGTTGAAACTCCCCTTGCTATTAAATTTATAAGGTCAATATAATCATCTTGCAAAAGCCAAAGGCTGTTGGGAATGAGACTGATGCCTACAAGCATTTCAACCTTTTGATTCTTTAGTTTAGGGCCCTTAGTTTGGTCGTTGTAGTCAAAAGTGGTTAGAAAGGGAATTAAAAATATATGTAGATGCAGTGGCATGAGAAGGCACGTGATTATCTTTTCCGCAACTGATGCATGTACTCTTCATGTAGGCTTCTCTTGTCCATACCCGCACCTCGTCTACGTTTTGTTCTTATATGCGAAATTTCACCATTTTGAACAGGAAATGTCTGAATATAAAACTGACACTGCAGCTCATGTCACATGGCTTTCCCCTCTTATTTTAAGTACAGATCACAAACACTTGCATCTTTTGTCACATTAAAAATCCTCCATCCTAAAGGCAAACATTCACCATTTAAGCAAATGATAATTTCTTAGCAATTCTTTTTAGTGCGTGTGTGTCAGCCCACATGCCATGGTTGTAGAAATTATTGGAAAACTGGTTGGTTCAATTCGATTGTTAAAACTGTATTTGGTCCCAACAATTTCAGCTGCAGTCTTGTAAAAGTCCATGTTACTACAATAAATACCACTTTTGATGTGATCTTTTTTTCACTAACGAGAACGAGAAGTACACAAATCTTGTGAGGAGATTTACGCAAGGGTTTGTAGTAAACTGGAGATTTAGACATTTAGTGTTGGACTAATACTAAAAAGACAATAAATACAAGAAACAGGAAAATTTTTAAGTGGTTTAGATGTAAGGTGTAATTTAGTCCATTATTATTTTACTGCTCTTTTTGTGTTTTTTTTTGCAAATACAAGTGACCTCAGTTCTAAGTACAAATGAGGCGGTTTCTTACAGCAAGAAAATAGTGTTTCAAAGATTGAAAAAATATCCCTTCTCTAGGGTGTGTGGCTCTTTTATATATTGTTGCGATGAAATAATCCTTTCAGAGAACAACATGCAACCTGGGGCGATTTTGCACATGAAGTAACCCTCTCAAGAGGTGATACACAGTCTGACTAACTGCAAAAGTTGATGCTTACTAATGAAATAATGTTTTGATAAATTTACAAGTGAAATAGCCCTCTAATTAATCGAGTGACATAGAACCTGTTGACAGCGCATCCTGGGGCATGTGGCGTGAATCTAGAATCTAGGCAAGGTGGATTTAACGCACAACGACCAACAAAGCAAAACAGACAGATATCAATTCTTCTTTCTTTATCTGAATGATGTGTTCATTTTTCATAGGATTTGGAAAAAGAAATACTGGTGCTGCATCATCAATTCATAATATGGGTAAGTTTTGCCTATGTTGTATTATATCTTATTCTTTGATGTTTATCCGTAAGGAATGTGAAGGTAATGGGCTGTCTGTTTGAGGAACCAGGTTGGTTTCGGTTGCCCATGTGGGCTCTTCTCTTTAATTAATAGCAAAGAGGCCCCATCCTTAGGCAATCGTTGGGCGGTTTGATTCAAGTGTGGCATACCCCACATGTATGTATGACCCAGAAAACGGTGGTGGCGCAATTTATGCTACTAAAGTTAGTCAAAATAAAAGAATGGTGATGGAAAAAAAAACAATAGCATGTTATGTCTGCTAAGTGATGAGAGGGCTGCAATATTGTCATCATTGATGCTGCAATTCTTGTCTCTATAACGAACACCACTCTCCCTTTTCCTTTTTCTGTAAAGGGGTCCTCTTGACTCCTAATTGGGTGTTTATAATAATTATACCAACTGTCAGATATGGACTTTGTTTCATTATCTCATCAGGCATGCTTAAGCTCAAATATTATGTGGGTTCATTCCATTTTTAATACTGCGAGTGTTTTGGCTTTGTTTTCTCTTTCGGTTTATACATGTTTAAGGACCCACATCAGCTCTTGTTTCAAGTTTCATTTCCTGCTAACAATGTCTTATTTCTCACCCAAATTTTGCCTTGCGCATCATCGGGATGTTTTATGGGGTTATTTATGCATGATTTTGTCGCGCACTATCACAACAATTTTTGCACTGATTTTGTACCAAAACCCCAAAACAGAAAGAAAGAAAAAAGAAATTTGTTCCATTACCTAAAATCTTAGATGCCCAGTGAAGAAACAGTACACTTAATGACCTTCAAAATCTTGTTTGCATTCTTTTGGTAAATGCATTTTGATTCTAAGAGATATTTACTAGGGATTGATGGCTCACTTGACTTCTGTATCATCAATGCATTGATGATTGATTTGATTTGGTAACATTCTCTGAACGGGGATAATTTCCGAAATATGTGATGCTGGAGACGTGAAAATATTAAAAAGTAAAACGAAGTTTCTGCATGTGATATTCTGGGCTGTCGTCCATATCAATACCTGTGATCACATGTATTTTCTGAGTTTTATGTCATCTGATTCTGCTGTTAAGATATATAGTATGGCAGCCTTCACGCTAATGTTGAGTTCTTTGCTTCAATGCATGAGACCATCTCCATCACCACAAACACACTAAATTAGCGTAATTTTTAGTGTATTTTACTATTGCATATTCGACATATTACATCAAATATTACATTAAAAAGAATATTCTTTTTTTTTTTCTTTTTCTTTCTATTAATAATCAACAATTAATCTATTTTACTAATTATTTTTGTATATATTAATTAAATATTGGGAATGATATTTTTATTATCACAAGAATCATAGACTTCCACTTCAAAATCTCCCTAATCGGTGTTTTGTGACATGTCGTCATATTCTTTAAACATAAATGATGAATATATTGGGGGTAGTTAAGCTCAACGACCCATTGGAGTGAAGAAAGCAAAATTAAAAAGGGAAAATGATGAAGTTCAAACCAAATTGAAACTATTCAAAAGAAGAAAATCGACCGCTTGTTGCTATTTTCAATCAGGGCAACTCAATTAGGGTACAAAATTATGAAATCCAAATGAAAAAATTGGCTTTAGCAGAATATCGAGAATATAATAAAATTTTATTCAATAATTTAAATTTCATAACTGATCCAAGCTTGTGTGAGTTTTTTCAAAATGAACAATCAAAATTTATGCAAAAAAGAGCTCAACAACAAGGTTAAAGATCTTAAAATAGCTCTAATTCTTTCCAGTATTTTGATGATCTTAGAGGATTCAGAACTAATCTACCGGAATACTGAATTGTTATTTTAATTTATTTTGTATTTTTTTAATTTTAGTGTTAATTTTTATTTTGAATTATTATAGTTTAATATTTGCATTGAATAAAGTTTTGTTTTTAATTTTTTATCATTTTTTGAATTATATAATTATTATGAATTTATTATTATAAATATTAGTATAAATAATAATCAAATAAACATAATACAAGTAACAAAAATAAGAAAATAAAATATATTTCTTAATAGCTGAATAGCATTGGTGTGGATGAACAGTATTACATCAAATTTGGCGTGACATTGTTTACTTACACTAATTTAGTATAGTTTTTAGTGTTAGGTTGGAGCATATTTTCCATACCTTACACCAAAATGGCGTTCGGTCGGAGATGGCCGGAGTCACTCATAAATTGAAACTCACCAAAATAAATCACTAGTCAAGTTGAAATCTACAATACATAAGACAGACACTGTCAGCTTCAACTAAACCAAACCCCATTGTATTATGAGTTTGAATTTTTCAAAAAATCAATCAAATAGTCTAACAACTGGGCCTAATTCGCTGTGTATACTGTATACTTATTAATATTATACCATATGCTTTCCAGTTGTTATAATAATCATACAAGCTAAGAAGAATACGACTTTATAATATGATAATAAATACCATGACACAAAAAATAAAGGTAATATTACGTTAAGAAACCATTTTCATTAATTTTATCTTTTTAATGTAATTTGACAGTTTGTAATTAATCAATTTATAATGAGTCTTACCTATTCAATAATGAGTTTTATCTAATCAATTATAAGTTATAATGTTGTATTTGTAGGAAAAAATTAATAAAAATAGTTTAGGAGAAAATAAATCCCAGTAAACGGTGTTACTATAATCGGATGAAAAGGACTTAACGCACAGACAAAGACTAGACTAATTAATTCTCAAAGTTTCATTTCATTAACACATTCTTAATCCATCAATTACCCAATCTAATTACGCCATCTGATTTGATTTGATTCGACTTATTTATTTTACTTTGACTTTACACAATATGACCGTTGATTCCACCCTCACGCGCCGCCTGATTTATCCGCCAAAATTTATTAAATAATTAAAATAAAATAGAAACAGAGAATGATTGATATTGCAGAAAGAAGAAAAAAGGTGAAGCCAAAAAGACACACATGAAGCGTGGGAAAGACACATGGATAATGAGATAAATTAATTAAATTAAAAAATATTCACATTGTAATTCTGATTCATACACACTTATTATAGTATTAGTAAGTTGAGAAACAGTAGTAGTTAAAAAATTAAATAAAAACTTGGATTCACAATTCTTCTCTTCTCATTCTCTCTGCCAAAAATTGCAACTTCGTTTTATTTAAGCGAAAACGCACAGTTGTTTTCAGTTTCACTTCAGTTGCAATGTACACCGTCTGATCATTTTTTACTCCCTGCTCCTACATACCGTCTGATCGGTATCCAATGGGAGCTCGCTGCTCTAAGTTCTCTCTCTGTTGGTTCCATTCTCACCTCAAGCACGGAGTGCTTGAATCTTCCGATCTCGGTACTTTTTACTCTCTATGTGTGGCATTTTTTGTAAATTTTGATGTAGGAACTAGGACGTAAGTGTTTATGTAATTTTATTGCAGATAATAACGGCAACTCATGGCCGAGTTTCACTGACTTCAGTTTGGAGCAACTGAAAGCCGCCACGGCTGGTTTTTCTCCCGATAACATAATATCGGAACACGGTGAAAAGGCTCCTAACGTTGTGTACAAAGGAAAGCTGGACAATGACCGTTGGATCGCCGTTAAGCGGTTCAACAAGCTGGCCTGGCCCGATTCTCGCCAATTCCTCGTGCGTAAATTAAATCCGATTATTAATTATGTTTTAGTTACGGAGTTTATATATATATTGTTTTTTCTTCTTCTGTTTAAAGTTAATGAAGTCTTTAAATGTGGTGTAGGAGGAGGCGAGGTCGGTGGGGAATTTAAGGAGCGAAAGATTGGCGAATCTGATTGGTTGTTGCTATGAAGGCGATGAGAGATTGCTGGTTGCGGAGTTTATGCCGAATGATACTCTTGCAAAACATCTCTTTCACTGTGAGTTGCTTTTTGTTTTTTCATATTTTAATTTATTTGAATCTTGTGCAAAATAAATACATTTGAAATGCATCTATATTTTTGTTTTAAGGTAGGAGTTCTAGGGACTTGATCAACTAGATTATTTATGCAATTTTTTTTTTTTTTGTAGAAGATATAGGACGTAAATATTGGCATTGATTTCATATACCGATTTAGTAGGGCGTTTGGGGGATCAAAATCACCTGTACATCTAGATTATATTGTTTGGCTGAAATAAATTAAAGGACTTTTGGGAACTGGCTTGGTAGATGCTTTTTGGGAAAGCACTTTTTGAGTAATAAAAAGCACTTTTGTGAAACACATATCAAAATGCACTTTAAATGCTTTCACAGAAAGTGGTTTTACTTGGAAGACCTTAAAACCTTTCTACAAAAATACCGTCTAATCACCCTAACAATGCTAATTAAGAGTTATGATTTAGTGCAATTTTTAGTTTAAAAAGAAAACTATGGTGAAATTATAATCTGAATAACTAATTTATGAGTGAGACAATCTCATATAATGATGAGCATGTATCCTGGTCCATCTCTATTAGAATTTGTTCCTTTATGATTGTTAATGGTCAAACTGATACAGGGGAGACCGAGCCCATGAAATGGGCTATGAGGTTGAGGGTGGCACTGTATTTGGCCCAAGCTCTGGAATATTGCGGCAGCAAAGGAAGGGCACTGTACCATGATCTCAATGCCTACAGGATTTTGTTTGATAAGGTAAGTTGTTTTTGTGCAGTTTCTGTTTATTCATCATACCATTAAAATGTCTTTCTTATAATATTGAAAATGGTGGTTGGCAGGATGGTAACCCCCGGCTTTCTTGCTTTGGCCTCATGAAAAATAGCAGAGATGGCAGAAGTTACAGCACAAACTTGGCTTTCACCCCTCCAGAGTACTTGAGAACAGGTATGCACAGTTTCCTGGAATAATTGGATTTATGTTACTTGATATGATATTTACTCACAGATAGGAAGCAGTCACTTAGCAACCTAGACATATTGTTCTTGGTAATAACATATTGGGATATGGAATAGGCGGGAAGTAACAGGTCATTGTAGATAGGATTTTAGCTCTTTGTGAATGATAACATGGTATTAGCAACATTGTGTCCCACTGTAATGAAAATTCATTAGCTTTTATCCCTCTTTACTTATCCATTATGAAGGTTTAGAATGTCAAATCAGTTTATAATTTATATAAATGAAACCCTTTTTTTTCTGGGAAACCTACACAGGACTAGGATAATTTCTAAAAATAAAAATAAACTTTATTAATAAAATCTCAAATAGTTGCTGATATTGTACAGACTTCTGGCCAACTTTCAAATAATGAAGGATGTTGGTTTGGTATAGGTTTACGCAATGATAATGATATGCTGGAGAAAGATGTAAAATTAAAACTTATTGTCACACAAACTTTTAACATAGAAGTCTATCATAGGACCTTGAGAAAAGATTAGATTTGTATATGGTTGCTTACTTCATTATCTATATATCATCGGTCCCAGTTTAAGCTAAAGCTGATTTTCTATATGTGCATCTTTTGGCAGGCAGAGTGACACCAGAAAGTGTAGTGTACAGCTTTGGCACCTTGTTACTAGATCTTCTAAGTGGCAAACATATTCCCCCTAGCCATGTAACTTTTTCCTCTTCTATAATTATTCCTTTTAGAATTAGAGAGTATGCATTTTTTTAGCCAAAAGAAAAGGTGTGATTGTAAAACTAAAAGTACTATTAAGTATTTATTACATGTTTAGTCACTTAATATTTGTTTGTTGTTTGCAGGCACTTGACTTGATTCGTGGGAAGAATTTCCTAATGTTAATGGACTCAGCTTTGGAGGGCCATTGTTCAAATGATGATGGAACTGAATTAATGCGGTTAGCTTCTCGTTGTCTGCAGTATGAAGCTCGAGAGAGGCCAAATGTAAAGTCTCTTGTCACCGCTCTCATGTCACTCCAGAAAGAAGCAGAGGTAT